GCAGTACCTGTAATACCTACAGCATGTTCTAATCGCTCTAATACAGGTGGATGAGACCGTTGAGAGGTGGAGGCAAGATCTGGAGAGAGAGGAATGAAAATCAGCAGAATATGACAGAATAATGAGTGTGAATGAGACAGAGGCACGGGCAGCTACAAGGAGCAGAGAAGAGTTTAAATGCCTGTAGTCAACCATCCAACAACAGACAGAAGAAGAGCGTGCAGGTAGAGTGGAGTAGGTGCAGATGTGTGTTATGGGTGATTTGTGAAAGCAAATATTCAGAAGATTGTAATGAGCTGGAGGTGGGAGAGATTCACTGGGAATGACCAGGATGGACAGGATTTGAAATGAGTAGATCAGGTCAACTGAAAGGAAGAGGAAAGATGTAAGTCCCAGGACTGCTGCTTCTGTGTTTCTCATACAGATGTTCAGCAGCCACTATAGAGGTGTTCAGTGGAGACAACAGTCCATCCTGTCTTGGTCACACAGAGCCTAAAAACAGAGCTCACTCTGTAACGTCACACAAACACTGGGTGGACCATCTTCCCAGCAGACTCCTGCATCCAATAAAGAATGCCCCCATGTGAGTTTCCAATGTTGGGGGCTTGTTTTGATTAATGCAAACATGCAGCTCCAGGATCTGAGTGGAGCCCTTGTTTAAGGCTGAACTTTGAAGAGAAAAGGCTTAAAGATATTACACAAGCACGGACACACTGAAGGAACACATCATCCTGTTTTCCTTTCTGTGTCACTAAATAGATTCCATAAGGCTTTGGCAGCAGATCTATCCCAGCCAATGTTAGAAAACATCATGTTGGTTTGATTCTCGATGCTCCAAAACTTGAATTTCTCCTTCTGAGGATTTATGGAGCTTGTGATCATGATGGCAGGAACACAATGCCTTTATGGAACGGTTCACATAAGTCCGAGTTGATAATACAGACAGAGGTGTTACTGTCTGGCTGTGACAGTTACATGGTGGACATTAGAGAGCTACTGTGTGGTAAACACTGCTGGGCTCTGACTGAAGGCTCTTACAGGATGGAGTAAGATGTTTGTGCAGCAACAAAAAGCTGAGGTCACCAAAACCAAAATATGACAGTGCAGTATTAAACAAAATGTCACTGCAGAGTAGGAAACCCTGTCAGCACGTGTGATCGAGCCACACTTCAGTGGCCTTGGTGACTTGTTTCGTGCGTTGGTGTACACTGTGAACGGTTTTCCTGGAGCATGTGCACTGGTAGCATTGTTTCCCTGCTAACAGCCCTGCTCTTCATTATTGTTTCCCTCCCTGTTTCCTGTTGGCATCTGTCTTTGTTTTATGTGAATAACTTAATGACTATCTGCACTTTCTGAGCTTTATAAGGCCGGTCCAAGCCTGCTGTTACTCAGCACAACTGTTGCTCAGAAGCAGAAGCCGAACCTATAATTAAATCCATTAGGCACCTTTAAATAATGGGATCCCTGCTAGCATGACGACAGACTAAGAAGCCTTCTAAAATAATTGGATCTGGCACACTGCTGGACTGTGTAATTTTTGTTTGCATGGACGTTCAATTTTCAATTCAATTTTATTTACACAGCACCAAATCACAACAGTCGATTCAAGGAGCTTTATATTGTAAGGTAGACCCTACAATACTACATACAGAGAAAACCCAACAATCATATGACCCACTATGAGCAAGCACTTTGGCGACAGTGGGAAGGAAAAACTCCCTTTAAACAGGAAGAAACCTCCGGCAGAACCAGGCTCAGGGAGGGGCGGGGCCATCTGCTGCGACGAGTTGGGGTGAGAGAAGGAAGACAGGATAAAGACATGCTGTGGAAGAGAGACAGAGGTTAATAATAAGTATGATTCAATGCAGAGAGGTCTATTAACACATAGTGAGTGAAGAACAAACACCCAATGCATCATGGGAATCCCCGGCAGCCTACGTCTATTGCAGCATAACTAAGGGAGGATTCAGGGTCACCTGAGCCAGCCCTAACTATATGCTTTAGCAAAAAGGAAAGTTTAAAGCCTAATCTTAAACGTAGAGATAGTGTCTGTCTCCTGAATCCAAACTGGAAGCTGGTTCCACAGAAGAGGGGCCTGAAAACTGAAGGACATGTGGGTGTTGGTGGCGTGCTACACACAGCTGGTCTTGTTTGGGCTGTTTTTGGTCTTTCAGAGTGAAGTTGTAACATGCGTTAAACTGTGTTTAAGAACAATGCATGCCCACTGCAGCACCACATAGCTCATGGTCCCTCCATATTTCATATACAGTTTATGTGGAATTCAGCAGAATTTTACAAAGTATGGCTGAAAAACCTCTAGATTGTGTAACTCCTGGAGCTGTCCGCCTGCCGGGGGCCTGTCTGTCATGGCTTGTGATCATCTGTACCTCCGCAGTGTCTTGACTTGGAATTCACTCCAAAATAAATGACGCCCTTCGTGCTGTCAGTAATTGGTATTATCACTGCAGAGCTGTTGACTGTGCTGCACTTGGCGGCCTTATTACATGCCCGTCATGATCTGCACCCACGGCAGATGTCTTTGGGAAGCATCCAGTTTGAAGTTTGTGCTGTTCAGCAGATATCGATGTTCAAAACCAGCCTCGGAGTGGCTGTGTCTCGCAGCTCATTAAGGGGCTGCAGCGAGATGTCTCTGAAGTTTATCCCAGCTCGTTTGTGTCAGACTTTGATGACGGGAGTCTGCGACTAACTCTTAGGAAGACGATCGTAGAAGAAGTCCAAATTGTGCAGTGGTGAGAAGAGGGAGATGAGTGGGAGAACGGGGTGGGGAGTACGTGACCAGTTCAGCAGCAGAGATAGCAAGTTGGCATCAAAAACTGCAGCACGTCAAAAGAAGATGCACGGCTCCTCCCTGTGTCTCGCACTTTATCTCCCCACCCCCTCCTCTTCCCTGTTACCAAGGAGAGGGGCTGACGTTGCCCACTCTCGCTAGGAGGGGGTGATGCAAAAGCTCTCCAGTCTCCCCTCTCTCCCACTCATGATGGCTTTGGCACAAGAAGAAAGAGAAGTGAAAGCCATGAAAGGAGAGAGAAGGGTAAACCCTCCATGTTAGAGATTTACATTGCGACATTAAAAGCCAGGATGGCTGGGGGCCCTCGGCAGCGTGTGAGAGGAGTGCAGGAGAGGCTTTCTGTGCCAGCTCCCTATCTTAGAAAATGGCCAAGCTCTGCCTGTGCTTAGGAAACGAGGCCTTTGTCTTCACTAGCCTTGATCCTTAGTGATGGATTTCAAGGGCCTGAATATATAGCAGCTAGGACTATAGTACTGCTTTAGTGTGGCACGTCCTCACAGAGCCGATGACGTGTTTGCAGCAGCTCACTTTTTTTGTTAAATCCTTTTTTCCCGTTCTTGGATGAACAGATCTTTCCAGACTTGTGCAGTCATACTCTTCCCTACGTTACTTTGCATTCACTGATGCTGCATGTCTGTCTGTGATGTTCACCAGCAGGTGTTGCAGCTAGTTGCATTGTTTTAGTGATTGCACGAATAATTTGAATCATGCATGTACATCCAGCCCCAACTGTGTGATGCTGTTGTATCATTATGGACTAAATCTCTGATATATTCACTTCATCTTCCCTTACATAATGCCAGCTCACAGTCAACCACATCGTAGCTAAAAAACCCAACAATCAGACAACCTGCTATCAGCAAGCCCTTGGTGAGACCACCTATCTATGCATTGAATTCAGGGCCACAGGGGGAGAGCCAGGTACACTGTGGACAGGCTGTCAGTCTGTCACAGGGCTAACACAGAGAAATAACCAGGTGCTCAGCACTGATGCCTCACAGCAAGAAGGTCCTGGTTGGAATCCACCATCTGTGTGGAGCTTGCATGTTTTCCTCGCTTCTTTCCGACTGATGTGGCTTTCTCCCACAGTCCAAGACGAGCAGTTATTGGAGGTTAACTGGTGATTGTAATTGCATACAGGTGTGAATGTGAGTGGTTTGTCTGTCTCAGCTCAGGGGCAGCCATCTGCCATGAAAAGGAAGACTGAAATTGTTTCATTACCACCACCTTAAGGCCTTTAATAAGGATAAACTGGTCATATTTCAAACTGTGAGACTTTCTGTCTTGTCTCTGCTCTCACCTACCAGCAGGTCGCACTGGATGGCTGCCACACCTGAGCCTGGTTCTGATCAACTTCCTGTTTAAAGGCTGTTTTTCCCTCCTACCTTTGCCGACTGTTAGCTTATTACAATAAAGCGCCTTGTTGTGAATTGGCACTATAGAAGCAAAATGGAATTGAATTAAAATGTGTCTGACACGACTGTGAGTGTGAGAAGATGATGCAGGGTTTTGAAATTCACACCAAAGGTGCCGCTACTCAAAGTTTGAATTTCAGTGAGGTCAGCCTCAAGGTCAGAGGTCAAGCTTTCTGAAACTCTTGTGACTGTGATAACTGAAGCAGGAAGTCACCAAGGACATTCAAATGTAACTGTACGCACAGCTACGTGGAGGCTGAGGGGTAGCACCTGTTTACACACTCACACAGTGTGATAGATGCATCCAGGGCAAGTGCAAGGGTCAGGGTGAAAGAGTGTGTGTGTTTGTGTGTGTGTGTATGAGGCTTGTAGTAAGAAAGTATTAAAGCTGTGTATATGTACTAGAGATGGCACGATACCACTTTTTTATGTCCGATACCTTTATTATAAATTTGGATAGCTGCCGATACCGATATGAATCCGATATAGTGTGTTTTTTAATCAATAAAATGTTTTTTTAATATCTTGCTGCATTTTGTATAAGTTCATACTCAAGTT